AGCCCGATGCGGGACTCGATCCCAGGACTCCAGGATCATGACCTGAGCCGAAGGCAGTCGCTTAACCAACTGAGCCACCCAGGCGCCCTAAATTTCTTAATCATTAGTGAATTTACCTTTTTCTTGAGAGAAAATAGCTGGTAGTCAGATATTGTCATGGTTTCTTCTTTTTGGCACATGATGTAATTAATGGTGTGCTGAATAACTTTTCGAATTAGAAACTTTCTTTTTCTCAAAGCCTGAGCCATCACAGAAGCTCTTGGAGTCCGACGTGAACGGCATCCCCGGGGCAGCGGACAGCAGCCTCTGCGCATGTGCGGGCCATTCGTGAGCTGTAGCGTCTTCAGTCAGAGTCCCAGCCGTCCATTGCCGTGGTTTTGTACTCACTGGCCTTGCGTACACTTGCTTTCTCCTCCGTGTCCGTGCTGCCCCTGTGACGCCCAAGACAGCCTAGTGAGGGGAGCTGAGTACCGAGGAGCGAGATGGTCACGTTGGGCTCGGCTTTGGAGGGCCACAAACAATTGTAATTTATAAGGTTTTTTTCACACCTTTTCTGCCCCCAAGAACTAGTATTGAGCATGGAGGCTGTAAATGCATGCAGTCTTGGGAGTTACTTAAATTCAGCTCTTTATAGTGGGCAAAAAGACTTTGTCACCCTGTACTCCTCTCCTTCGTGCTTCCCAGCTAGAACCTGGCTTCTATAGAAAAGGTCATGGCCCAAATACAAAGAAATTCATTTTTAGCTTTCAGGTGCCCAGATGCCGAAAATTTAGAGGATTTTTAGGGTGACTTTTACTATTCCATTTTCATCTTATGTTTAAGATGATTCTACTTTCCTCGGGTAGTAGCACGTTTACACATTGGTCACACTTGGGTGGCACCTGGTTTTGGCACATGGGTGTTGTCCGGTGAATTCCTAGGGAATGATGCATTCTGGCAAACTAAATTTCCACCCTCTCAGTGGCCAATCCAGAAGATTAAAACAATGGATGGATGGATAGGTGGGTGGGTAGGTGGGTAGAAAAGAGGTGAACATAATGAATAAATCCCTAGGTGGGGCTAATGTGGAGTAGTTAGCCGAACACATGGCCATTCAGAATAAAGGCCTATTTCCCTGGAGCACTTAACTCTGCCTTTGATACAAACTTCTGTGTTCTTTAAGCCATTGGTATTTGGAGTTTTCTTTTCTCAAAGATAAAACCAATCCTAACTTACAAGTTATATTTTAATTTCTACCTGCCTGAACTCCTCGGCAGAATTGAGTGCTGTCCAGCTTTAAGATTATGGAACCAAGTTTCAAGCTAACTTCTAAGTCATTTTAAAATTAACTCCTAGTAAAATCATTTTTTCTTTCTCTCAGTTGTTGTATCCCTTTACTTTAGACTTTTGAGCACAATTTTGATGACTCACTCTCCTGTCCACATATGGAGTGGTTTCATTTCCGCCACCTTCCTGGATATTCGTCTTGTGGACACACTTGTGTCTTGTTGCCTTGAAGGCTGTTGTTGCTCACCACTGGCATTTCTTTCCAGTGTGCGTTTTTTTTTGTTTTTTTTTTTTAAGATTTTATTTATCTGACAGAGAGTGCACAAGCAGGGGAGGGGCAGAGGGAGAGGGAGAAGCAGACTCCTTGCTGAGCAGGGAGCCCAATGCGGGGCTCGATCCCAGGACCCCGGGATCATGACCTGAGCCGAAGG